CCCCACACCCACACACCCACACCCACACCCAATAGAAATACATTTATCAATGAATCATCGTTTTATTATTAAAGTTTTTCATAATACTTTAGCTATTACAATCGTGTATATACAGTGAGACTTTTATCACAGAAGGAATAAACTTAATTTAAACATTTATTTCTTAGTTTTATAAAGAAGATTGAAGAATATTGACAATCAATAGAATTTAATGAAGTTAAATTGTATGAAAACTGCAAGAAAAATTTATGAATTTTAGAAATTCCATAAAGAAATAAATGTGAAAACCTCGGATTTAAATCCGAGTGTTATGTGTACTGAAGAAAAGTGAACAACAGTATATTCATTGTGTTTTTTATCACTAAATTACAAGGAGAAAATACAAACGTGCTAAGTTAGAATGGACCATACTTTATGCGATCTTATACGGTGATCACTGACTCTACTCTCACACTTATTGAATATCTTTCGAAATCACAGGAATTTAGTTCAAATTCGTGTTTACCTTGGAAAATTGAGTAAGAAGAGTTAGTTTTCAATGGATTTGCGTTTGTATCTAGCAGGATTACGATCGTAATCAACCTCAGCAATCTATAAAAGATATATATCAGAGATACATACATCAGGCCTTTTACTAATAAATCACCAATATTAATAGCTATCGAGTTAGGATTTTTACCTTTCGATAGTCCTTTTGACTACCTACTAAATCAGGCATTTGGAAAACCCCAAAACTACTGGTCATCTGATACACATCTAGGCAATTTGCTTTCTGGATGCAGTTTTTGTGTATTTTGAGACCTTTTTCAGGCAATGTTTTGCTAGAAAGCTACAATTTGGTTCAAAACTAATATTAGATTCGGAATCAGCGTTAAAAACTGAGTCGATTTATATATGTTGCGAATAATTTTGAGAAAAAAATCGCTGTACCCCCCGTCAGGGATGGTCTGGTCAATAATGATTATTTTTTCAATAACTCAGCCATTTTGTGACGGATCCTTTTCATCTTCGAACTCGACCGAGATATAGTGAAGACTGAACTGTATAGAAAATTTCATCGTGATCGGACTTTCCTTTCGAAAGTTATCGTGTAAACGGCCGGACGGACATACTGACCGATTCTAGAGTGTATGAACTTTTTGAGTACACAAAAAACATGTTACAAATTATATTTGTTGTTAATTCTGGAAATATATTGAATGTAACTGTTCGTGTATATCAAAGAATAATACACAATATCAAGTAAAATATATTTAATCTAAGTCGCTACCATTTACTTCTATCATCAAACGTTATTAGTACTAAATACTTCAGAACAATAAGAAGCAAATTATCCGATTTGTTGGTCGAACTTGAATGAATGATCAATTTTATTGTCATAATGTAGTGATCACATTTAAGCCAATTGTAATGAATCAAGTATTCATCACAAATAGATTTCTGTATTTCCGACACATTGTATGTTTTTTTTGTAGAAATCACTTAAAAATGAAGGATGTACGATGCAAAGGTTTTATGCTAATTTCATTCTTATTCTTATACCGTTTATCAGTCAACACTCATATTGACACTCCGAAAAAGTGGTAGTTTTAATTTATACACTAGAAAAACTCAAAATGTTACAAGGATGTAAGTGTGTGAATTAAAGTCAGAGGCACAATTATTGTAATAACATGTCCACCCACACCCTTTACTTTTTTTCAGTATATTTATTGAGAATAACATAAAGGTTGATAGAACAATTTACACTACTATTGATTTTGCGCAGCATCTATGATCGTTTGATAGCCATTAATAAGTTTTTTGGTCCAAATTATATAAGGATCATCCGACGGAAATGAATTACCTTCCAATATGTATAATAATTTATACACGCAATTTAACGCAGCCATTACATATCTTTCTTGCATCAGAGCAAAACTCATTTCCTTATAAGTCCAAGCAATAGAAAGATCATTCCATGGAAGATATCCTAGTTGAATAGATAATAGTTTTTCATAGATTTTTATTGCTAGTTCATAATTTTCATTTTTCTTATGAATTTCAGCCATTTTTGAAAGAATTTCAATAATTTGTGTATGGTATGTATTCAACGAAGCCTTTTCATATACTAGTAAGGCTTGTCTATAATTAAATAACGCTTCATTTAATGTGTTCATATCTAATTGAATATCCGCTATAATTTTGTATATTTTTCCAACTTCAATATGATCTGAAGCACAAACTAATTGAATTGATAATGCTTTTTGATAATTGTCTAATGCGAGATCATATTCCTTTTTCTTGTAATGTAAATTAGCGAAGCACGTTAGTATTGCTGCTCTTGTCGGATGGTAATCTGGTAACACTTTCTTTAGAATATCTAATGCTTTATTGTAATGTACTAAAGCTAAATCATAATCATCTTGTTTTAAGTAATCATTACCAAGATTAATATAAATTCCAGCCGTACTATAATCATAATATCCAACAATATTCAATTGAATATCTAAGGCTTGATTATGGTAATCAATTGCTGCGTTATAATCATTTGTAGAAATGCCTAAGCAATTTAAAATAGCACATAATCGTAATTGGTTTAATGATGATTGATTTAATTCTAATTCTAAAGCTTTTGTAAAAAGTGAATAAGCTGTTTTAGAATCTCCAGTTTCATTTGCCACAGTACCCATATTTATATAACATACTGATATATCAGGATGAGTTTCTGGTAATAATTTAATTAATCTTTTATAATAACGTTTAGCTTGATCATATTTTCCCATCTGAAAGAAAATATCTCCAACCGTACTAATATTTGTCTCTTCTGGGATTTCTTGTTTCATTATTTCAAACATATCTCTTAAATTATTATCTTCAGTTCCTGATAAAACCAATTTAATTATCCATAATTTTTCATTCTCATTCCTTAAAATATCCAAAATTTTAAATACACTTCCAGCCATAAACAGAACTTCTTGTTCCATCTCAAATTGACTTAAATGTGTTACATTAGCAAATGGTTTTGCACCTTGTAGTCGAGCATTAGCTTCAATTTCAAATAAAACTGAAGTTTTTCGAATGTCTTTATTATAGATTTTGGCATGGGATATTGCAACACGTCGATCGAGAGAAGTAGAAAGAAGTTTATTGAAGGAAATAAATTTTGTTTCATTAATTTTAAGACTTTCTAATTCTTCAACAGTCATTATTTGTCCACGATAAACTATTATAACTGGAACGTCAAACTTTTGTTGTTCATTAGCAAGTTGTTTATATAAGTCACGAATAAGAAAACGAAATACAAGTAAAACTTCAAAATCTTGTCGATTTAATGCTCTGTTCAAAATTCGATAAATAAATGTTTCACTAGTATACCACCATACAGCATTTACAGGATTATACATTTCTTCTAATTGTTTCAAAGTTTTTTCTTCAACAGGATTATTACGATAATGTCTATCACAGACAAAAACTATATCTTCAATACTCTTGCGTAAATTGTCATCTGTCATTCTAATTAATACTTCAATAATCAGTTGAAACCATATAAATCTACTATTTTCATTCGTCAGATTTAAATGAGTTTTTACTGATGGTTTGAATATTGTAAGTGGTAGAGTATCATTTTCTGCCTTTCGTAAGTCAGTGTAATTTGCAGTTATTTGATCAACTAAAGCAGCTGGTGTATCCAAAACATCATTTATCTATAAGAAAAGTTGTTAGCGTAATTCATATAAGGCACTGTCTATCTGGTATCAAGAAAAACAATGATATATCATCTCATTATTGTCTGATACTATAACGCTAGTAAGAATAAGAAAGTTTTTGATGTTATATACCAAATGAGCTAAGCATTTAAGGTTATGAGTTTCAGATATTCTCATTTCGAGTGCACATGAAAAATAAAGATTTTAAATTTTGACAAGAGCTTCGGTTCCTTGGTGCTTTCATGTCTGTGGAAAGATGGGTGAATGCAAAATTTTTATTTCTATACACTACAATACTTGTTTTAAATCGTGTTTCTCCTATTGAAATTACCTTATCATATCGTTGAACCCAGTCTCTATGTTCATCTTTGTCATAGCAATAAATATAGATTGATATGATACATGCTAGCTGATGAATTTGCGGTACAAGTTCTCTTCCTAATGTTCCGGACACAATCAAAACAAATTTTTCATCTTCATGTTTTCTGATATAATTATAGCATTCTTCCGATGATTGAAATGTTGCTACAAAGTTAATGATTTCGCGTAGTTTGGTTTGAGTTTGTCGGCTGTCTTCATTCGAATTCACCTTTTCATCACACCATAGTAGAGAATAAGTTTCAAGATTGTTATATCCCGGAACTAAAAGTCGGAAATATTGTGTATGAGAAAGTTATTTATTTTTTTTCTGCTAATGTAATATAAGAAATTTACTTTGGCTAGCAAATTCTAATGGATCCGAATCATAATGATAGATTTTAATCGGTTGTGATACATCAGCACTGTAAATTTCTGCTCCTAAATAAGAATTGACCGCTTCTACAAATGCGATTTGATCTATTTCATGTTCTTCAACGTTATCATACATTTGAAACAAAGCACGCGCTTTTGATCGTGTACGATGATCGTCTATATATTTCAGACTTGCACTTTCGAACGAAGATTCTTTTAATGTAAATGGCATATGTATCATCCTATGTTTTGAATTTTCTGACGAAGAATCTTTCCTAGTGTTATTTTCATGGCTACTTTTGGACGAGATAGAAGATGAATATTCTTCATTTGTTGTATATAGCATTTGATGCTCCATAGACATTGATAAATCATCCATGTTTGATGATGCTGTTGGATATATACCATAATTATTGATCTCATCGGAACGTTCTGTAGAATTCATTTTCTTGGTTTTTTCATCTGTTGTTGTTATGGTTTCTGAAAATGAAGCTAACTTGGTATCTGCAGAAGATAATTGAGTCGGTAAGACTGTTCTAGTCCAGTTTTGTTCAGGTAAGGACGGAATTTGATCTGCTTTGTGAATAGTATTCTCTACTGTTTTTGAATTTATAGTCGGACCAACTAATCGATTGAATAGTTTTTGACGCAAACGGTCGCCATAACTGTTGAATCGATCTAGCCGCATTTTATTTTTCTCCATACTTATTTCAATTAATTGATCATTTATTATCTCGAACAAATACGACTAGTAGCATTAAAGTAACTGTACTCCCATGCAGCGAGCTTTCGTATGAAAATATCTCATTTATGTGTTGTTAGTAAGTTCAAATATTATAGCGATATTCTTATTGTGAAAATAATATATAAGAATGACTGAAGGTGAAGAAAATTGAATAAATGTAATAATATAAACACGACAAACGTGAGCTTTTATTTTTCTTTTCTTATAATAATGACTGAAGTAAAGTTTATGTTTCTTCCAGTTAGATAGTAAGAGTATAGGAAAGGAAAGAAATATTTCATATTTTATGAGAGAGTGCACAACCTCTCATGCTGTTCCGTCAAGAAAAGTAGTTTAAAAGGAAAGAAAAAAAATCAAAGGAAGTGGAAGAAACAGCCACTGTAGATATAATGGTAGTGGTGCGTCATCAATACGTTTTCAATGACATTCCAAATCTCTAATAGAAAGAAGTGCATAAAATATTTATTGGTCTAAAATCATTCAATCAATATTACATTATATAGAAATAAAATCGTCTTCTACATTTCGAGTTGTTAAATGGTTTTAAGGTCACCAATGTTGGTCATTGGTTACATAGATTAGATTTGACTTTTGAATAAACAACAGACACAATTGAAATAATGCTTGATAAGGAAAAAATATTGTCGCGAGAAACCAATTGAAACATTGATGAAACTGCATCGGGATCTTGAGCTTACTTTTGATTTCATTGAAATGTTTGCAGAATATCGAGTGAAATCATTGATTTAGATGTTTAGACAATATGGTTATTGATATTATGTAGATTGAAATTATTAAATTATTTCAAATATTGAACTATGATTTTCATCATTTGATCAAAGTACTTTTTCAATGATATTTCTCAATGTCGAAGCTTAACGCCAATTACATATACAAATGTACAAGAATATGTTTAGTGCCATTTTTTTGACTTAATATTTTGAAGTTCACAGAAATCGGAAGAAAATTATTTTCTGAGGTTGGAATTATGAGAAAAAAAATTTCAGAAACAACAACAGCTATTTTCAAACAACTAAAAATTATAATTAAATATTTTATAATTTTCAATGAATTATCTTCTCAACCATATCAATCAGAACAGGATTTTCAATAAAAATAGTCCAAAAATCTGCTTGTCATGAACTAATGACGAATTCACCAAAACTGACATGCGGCGCTTGAGTTAATATTAGGTTCATAAGAAAACAACTGTTGAATTAGAAAAAGATTACACGAACTTATATCTATAGATTTTCAGTTATAAAATTCTGTCTGTATACTCATCAAATGATCGTTAGAATATTCGGACAGTTTCAGATATGTGTGTGGTTTGCGCTTAGTTTTCGATCTGGATATTCAATCCTGTAACAATTCTATTTGCAAATGAAAAGGAACCGTCTGAAATTTTGTTCCTATTGTGATATCAGGAAATAACCTCATAATCCAGATATTTAGTTTCATTCATTCTGAAATATATGCAAATAATTTAAAGAGATTTGTTTCAATAGATTTTATGAAACATCCAACGAAGCAGTTCGTTTTTTCTCCCAAGAAACATAAAAGATAAGAAAAAACCTTTTTACATTTAATGGTTGTACTATTATTAAGAGATAAGGAATGAAACATTCAAATCATCAATTTAAAAGATAGCAAAACAAGAACGGACAGAAATAAGAAAAACAATATATGATTGTAAGTCTATGGAAATTAAAGTTTTATCTCATAACTTTCTTTTTTTCAGGGAGAACGAACTTCATTTAATGTAGATGTTGGTACAATTTCAATTGAAGATACTGATGCCATCAATGGATTTTTTGGAAGCGTAAAAGAATTTTGGTTTTCGTTTCTTTCTTATATTTACTTATACTTCTTTCAAGTACCAGCGACCAAAGAGTATTCATTGGCTTGAACGTACATTTCTATTTCTTGGTATATTAGCTGGACTTCTTATGTATGGATTTACGATTGCTCGTCTCGTCAAAGTAAATTCTTGGAATCATCCAGATACTCCTTATGGTATTCTTATTCTTGTTCATTCAAGTATGTTTTTTATTTAAGAAAATAAGAATTACAATTAATTTCATTTCTATTTTTTCATTAGTATTTCTTATTATATTTTTAATAACTGGCATTTTCTATCAACGTATAACCGATATCGTTGCCTTTCTTCTCGGTGATGTTTTGTTAACTATTTATTCTATTGCATATTTTTTAGCTCGAAGACATAGTAATGAAGCACAAATTGTTCTAGTAAATAAAATATCATTTTGAGAAGAATTATCATTTTATTTTTCGATTGACTGTTTTCCAAGGTTCGACTTTTATTAACAAGTCTTTTTAGTACGTGTTTTATTTGTTGTGCTATTAGAATTATTTGGTACTACTGCAAAAGTAATTCTTCGATACGGTAAATTTAATTTGTCTATTGATAAGATGTTTAAAGGGTATCTTTTTCTATTTTCAATAGTGTTTCGATTGCTTTATCTAGCGAAAAAACTCCATTACTTACAACGTATAGTATATTTGACTGTGTAATACGCATTAATACGATGCTTTCGGTGGATAATTTGTCTGATGTTTCTAATGAAATTTACATTTTAGTTTTGTTTTATTAGATATCATCAGTATTAATTAATCTATATGATTATACTGGTTATCCAACAGCAGATCTAGTTTTGCTTATTATTGGTATTCCTACAGCCTTATTATGGTTATTTCTTGGCATCAGTATGGTAGGTTAAAAAGCAATATATAACTATAAAAATAGAATACTATTGTCCTTATTTTGGTTTAGACTCGTTTAGAAAGTTTGAAATTATTTTATGTATTCATTGCAAGTTCATTTTTTCAATTGGGTTTTTTAATTTTTAGTCTTACTACAGTATACATTGCTTTCTATTTCTGGTTTCTGAATTTCATATTAATGTTATTAGGGAGTTAAATATTCAGAAGACATATCTCATGAATCAACAATCTCTACAACAACATCGGCAACAACTCCGAATCTATTACCTATTCCTCCAATGCTTTATGCATGCATATCGTTTAATTTTATTTCACATTTATCATCCATTGGTCTTGGATTTCGGTGTAAAAAAATTTTAATAATGGTCTTAAAGAAGCAGTATTTCAAACTGATTTTGATACGTGGATCACAAACATATCTTCAAGTATTTAGACTATTAAATCAAAACACAAAATGAATAATGAGCATCATTTATTTCTTTTTGTGTGTTTGCAATAAAATTTGTGATAATTATATTTATTAGTAATCATTAACTTATGTCTCAATACTCTCAAAGCTATGAATTAGTCGTATGCGGCGGCTATGAGGTGTAGATAGTAGTGAGTTTGTTTCTAAATTGAGCAGTAGTACTATGACATACACTCTCAAGTAGCAAGCGAATGTAGATAGAAACTAGTCTCATCGCTTGTCACTCTTATATAAAAATTTTAGCGGTGTACCTTTCATTATCATAATGTTAGAACGAACTTCTTGCAGTATGTTCTGTGTAAAAACGGTTCTATATAAAAAATAGTCATTCGAGAAACTTAACAAAAAACTAATTGGAGACGTTAAACATTTCCTCCTTCCATTCAAGATATGGACTAAAAACCGGAGCATTCTTCACATCCACATCCTCAAATTGAAGAGGAATCTGATGTTAAACACTCATCAAATTGAAGCACAGGAGTGGAATCGATCGATTTCTTGTACTAGATTCATACTAGTAGTTTAGAAGATAGTCAAGAAAAGACTATTGTCAATGTAAATTGTTTTGAAAAGCAAGAACAGAAAATCAATAATATTTAAATAATACATGATTTATGTAGACGATGTTCAAGGACAAGATGTTGATGATAGTACACCCACGCACCCACACCCTCGTCTGATAATTGGTTGTAGATAGTTTTATTAAATATATATGAAATATAGAATGATATGCACTTGATTTTTTTTGTATCGTTCGCACACATTATAGATGAACACATTATGTAAGTCATAAATAAGTTAATTCATTTTTTTATTCGAGAATTTAGTACAAATGCAGAACAAGAATAATACCTATTTAACTCTTTAAGATTGGATGTTGCCATTTGCCAACATTGAGCTAAAATTTATCTCTGATTTCATGTGAAGTGAAGTGTATAATTTTTTTGACAATTTGACAATTATCTTTGAATAAATCGGCACACATTTACGAATTCTCACAAAAAAGAAAACTATTTATTGCGAAGAACGATGTCTTCCTTTGTAATGAAGCATAAGAGCATTAGAATCGTAATAATAACATTTCCCTGCCCATGTAAATATTTTTTGCCTCAAAACGCGTCTGAAACGCGTTTCATTTGCGTACGAAACGCTAAGAGTGAACGCGTTTGAACGCGTCCCCAGTGAAACAAACGAAGCGTTTAAACGCGATTTATTTTAGAAACGCGTGTGAATGCGCTTCTAGCTTGACTTGCGTTCAAACGCATTTTTAGCGAAAACGCGTCCCAGATGAAACATTTAATGCGTCTGGACGCGTTTCATAAAAAAACTAAAAATTTTGAAAAAAAATATGATAATCCATTTCAGATTCGAACTGAGTTGCCACCATCAATATTTTTTGATGGTCTTAGCCTTCCCTGGCAAATGGATTAGATTTTACCTTAAGCGACGACGATCAGATTTGAACAGATGAACCAGTGATTAGAAGTCGTTCATACATACCGCTGAGTTATACTAACTCGAAATCTTGTCTTATTCAAAATAAAATATATTTGAAGACGAATTTCATCGGTTAAATACTTTATTTTAACAAGATGTATTTTTTTCGAATTCAAGAGTCTTAACACGTAAGATGACTTTTCAGTTATTTTTTTAAATAAGTTTTTTATTTTTTTAATAAAATAACATCTTTTTTTTATCATCTACTACACATAAAAAATATTACGATCTTTTTTATTGAACTGGTAATATGATAAATAATTTTATCGAAAAATTTAATGAATAGATAATTATTGACAAACAATTTAGTAGAAATATATGATGAAAAGTTACTAATAATATTATTTAAATAGTAGTATTTAACAATACTCTGAAAGTGCATTGCATAGCTGGAAACTATTACAATATTATCTAACTATTTTTCTTACAAACTTTAGAGAAATATGGACTGTTCACCCTATGTTTAATTGAATTTTGTCTATTTTAACGTCATCTCGACATTCTTTATTAGAAGTCTAATGAAGTTTAGATGAATAAAATACATGTAAGCTGATGATTTTGATTATGCAGTTAACTCTTCTAGAGCCGCAATTTTTGGGTAAAATCGCGTCCGATACACAAAAAATAAACACTTTCAAAGGCACTCGAAAATATGATTGCGTCCTAACGCGAGCGAAAAACATATTTAAGACACGTTTGAACGCAGTTCGTAAACAAAATTTTTTTAAACGCATTAAATTTTTTTCAGAAACGTGTCGAAACGCGGTTCATTTTTTTCTGATTGCGTTTAAACGCCTTGTATAGAAAACCTGCGTCCAGACGCGTTTCAAAGTTTTTTCTAACTGCGTCTCAACGCTTCTCATATTACACCACGTTTGAACGCGTTCAGTCAAACTCTTATTAAACACGTACAAACGCAATTTCAATATGAAACGCGTTGAGACGCGGTTCATAGTTTTTTTTACAATTGCGTTTCAACACGTTGCATACAAAAACTGCGTTCAGACGCGTTTCAAAAGTTTTCTAACTGCGTCTCAACGCGTTTCATATTAAAAATGCATTTGAATGCATTGTGAACCCGTTTTTAACTGCGTCTAGACGTGTTTTGTTGTGAAACCGCGTTTCAACGCATCGATCTTGCGTTTCGTGATTACATGGGTGTGCATGAACATTCTGTCTATAAGGTAATCGGTAGTTAATTTTCCTGCCTAAACCTATTGTCTTTTATTTTACTAAGAAAGATTACTCAGTAAATTTGAATCACAAAAAAATAGTGATGTTACCAGATGGCAACAGATGACCGTAAAGGGACAAACAAAAATCTTGGAAAAGTCAATTTTTTTCTTCTATGCAAGACCAAAATTTAATGTTCTTCTTTTAAATCCATACCTTCATACTAAATCAGAATCTATCGTTCTATTCATCCTTTGCAAGCCAAAGATTGAATATTTTCTAGAATATCCCAAAAGTTTTCTGAACGGTACAAAAGAATCAGTGTCGATAAGGCCATCTTTCGTCACAAAAGAATATTTTCACGAAATAATTATATGAGTAGAACAAGATTGATATGAACTATAAAACTAGCATAATTGCGTTCTTTAGAATCACTTTTCGCTTTTTGACACTTGTAATCCTATGGAGCTTCGAAAAAAAAATTTAAAATTTAATTCAAGTAAAAATGAAAATGAAATAAAAACGAAGTAATTTTCTATTAATTATATATATTCATTATGTTTCAATGAGTTAATTTAATTTTAATAGAGCTTTCGGGCTTCAACCAGCCCATCATCAGTATAATTAAATATACAAGTCCTATTTTATGTTATGTTATATTATATTATTTTTATTTTAAATTTATTTCTTCAAAGTAACTAGAACTATTAAGTCAAATACGATGATTACAGATTTGTTATCTTGGAAATCAAAAATGTAGTTCTAGAAAATCAGATCGTTTTTTTTTATGAATTTTGAGTCCCAATCAAAATTTTGATCCTTCTTTGACATAGATTAGGCTGTAGAAAGTCTAAAAGAGACGAGTTTTAGATATAACTTTTTAAATTTTATCTGAATCTGAATGAATAAAGATCATTCAAAAAGTTCAACTGCTCACAACAGCAAAGTAGGATAGTAATGGATGTCTCTTTTTCTAATGTTCTTAGTACAGTGAGCTATTAAGAACTTCAGTAATATCATATCAGTTCGGTATAGCTTTTCATGATCTATCCAGACATGACATTGAAAAGATTGGCATCTGGTGTAAAATTACGATAGTAGAGGTGGAAAATCAAAGTTTTCTAAGAGATTCTTCGTTTCTTCACGTTTTTATCAGCTTTGGTTAACTGTGTTTTTTACTTGCTTGTTTGTAAAACGTACGAGAATTGTTTACTTTTATTCTTAATGAAAAAAAAAGTGAAATAGTTATAGAGATGAGCTCCGTTCTCGAGTTGCCTCTATTTGACTTCGTCGTCGATCTGTTTCAACGAGTATCAAACAAAATCGAATGATGAAACTTTCGTCAAGAATCTTGTACATGAAGAGATCTTATGGCTATTATAATGTAAGAAAGTTTCAGCTGATTAAAATATTTTGATATTGAATTTGGAATATTAAAAGATACTGATTGTCTGAAATCATTATAAATTTTGAGCGTTTCATCACTCCACAACATTTCCAAAGTAGAACACTAATTTCAAAATCTTTCTGAGTCTTCTATTGAGTCAAAATTTTGAAATTTGACGTTACCATGTTTTTGTACCTAGGGTGCCAACAGGGATCGAAAATAATATTTTTTTCTTTAATTCCAACGTTGAGTATGGGTATACGTATTGATGGACATATACACCCACACCCTCTTTTTATAAAAGAATTTATTTGCTATGTGAAATTAGAGCAGAAAATGTTTTATTTTCCATATTAAATCAAGTAAAAATCTTTTTTTTGTGTGTATTATTATTTGACGAAATATCGAATTATTTGATTTTCTAATGATTATTTAGCAAATTTTCGTTCGAATTTACAAGTTCGAAATGATTATTATCAAATCATCTTATGTCAAAATTGATATCCTATTAAATTAAATCAATATTCATTGCTAATCGACCATCAGAGTCTTCAAAAAAAAACCTATCCTCTAGATGGACAAAATAAAATTAATATTCGACTAAAGAATATTTTTTTATTGTTAACCGTTGCCATACCGGCCTATTTTAAGTACTATATTGACAATATATATTTTCATAAAATATTTTTTTGTACTTTGGGATACTCCCCTGAGGAAATATGCTATTTTCATGTTCGATGCAATAAAAAAAATTACTAGAATGACATTTTTTATTTGCAGCAAGTGTTACAAAAAATACGTTTAACAGAATGTTCATCACAAACGAACGTAGAACAAACACTGCATTGAGTTGATGTTTTTTTGTCCTTTGAACGTTCACAAAAAGAACATCTTTTTCGTTTTGCTTGAGCAGAATTGTCATTTATGATTGATATATTTCTCTTTATTACAGGATAACCGACGATAGCTAATGCATTTTGAATATCTGTATTCAGAAATTTTGAATTTTTTGAGCGAAAATCCAGCTGATGCGACGCTAAAGCCATTCCTAATTCATCGAGAAATAATCGACGTTTATATTTTATATTTTGATTCCATTGGGTATATTCCCTTTTAGATGAAACGACATAGATCTACTCTTAAGCGATGCTAATAGCTTAAAAAAGGTGAGAAAAAACAATATTTTTAGCATATTTGTATATTTTTCAGGTTGGGGTCAGAAATGACCCCGGCCGGTACGGCAAGGGTTAATAATCAATTTATTTCTAAACTGAAAATATATCAAACATATAATAATCATCTACTTTGGGTATGGCCAAGAACAAGATGAATACTCACACCCTCATCAACACTATTTACTGAACTTACAGATTCAAAAGCTGGTAGAATTATTTATCAATATATATATATTGCAACTGAAGTAGTACTCGAACTCAAACAAAATTAAGAATAGCCCGAATCAAGCAAATTTGTAAGAGTGTGTCATTATTTTTTCTAATAGAATACAAGAAAATTTTTGGGAATCGGGGAATGTCACACCTTTGACACTCTCTAATCAGGCCATTCTTGACAAGAACGTAAAGAAAATAAAAGTATTTGTATTTATATGAGTAACATCTCATAGTATATGTTGTGTATAAAACTTCTTTGTTTATTATTATGAATCGAATATAATAAATTAGATTCAATTATATCATTATTTATTCTATGTCAAAGAACACTGAAAATAATAGAAAAGACATAACCGAGGATTTTATTGATGTATATTGCTGATTAAATTACACTATAATGAAGAATATTTTAATATTGTA